TACGCCAAGTCCCTGGTTTTCACCCGAGACAGCATTAAATCCATCTTTATTTCTTGTCACCCCTTAACCAATTACAATCAGTATAAGAGACTCCAAGGCCTTGCCTTCCAACAAACAACCAATCACATGAAAGTTTTACACATCATAATCAATTAATTACTCGTCAAGCTGTCTAGAGAAAACATTTCTATACATTGTCAACACTAACTAATATTGATGGGGTAATAATCTCGCACTAACATTCCACCAAGATACTACCTTTTTTAAACTCGCAAACAACATTGGTTTAGAATTACAGCTACTGTCTTGTATCTTAAAAACTGCAGAGTCATAAGATGTTTTTGGTTGATTTCGACCAGCTCGCCATCTGGTCTTGTCATTAACCTTTATCAGTATATGTCATGACAACCACTGTCAAACTGACTGAAATATAAATCATGATAGAGCCATGATTCTGCTTCTGCTGGATGAGACTCATCTGGGGAAGCGTCAGGGACACGGGTAGCCGACGTGCCTTTCAATATGCCCGGGATCACGATCAACTCCCAACCTCCCATCATGCTCAGATGCGAATCGGGGTGTCCTGCACGTTTAACAAGGAGTTCGGGCTGTCCGCGACTTTTAAGAATCTTGACCCCGACCCTGCCCCGAACCAGATTCAAGAGCTTTGGGAATAAACCCCCCTTTTTTGTATATCTCGGGAAGTGTTTTGCAATACACCTCCTATTTTGAGAATCTCGGGAAAACAAGCAAAAAATACCCCCTTTTCTACGATTTTCTCGGGAAAATGTTCCCGAGACAGATCGTCAAAAGTACCCCCTTTCCCGAGAAAATGGGAACGCGCATGCGGCCCCCTATGGATCCTGAGTGGGGGGGGGGAGTGTACGTTGATTCATTTATCATGATACTATTCGTGCAGAACTAATCCGTCACTAGAAAAAAATATTGTAGGTGATTTAACAAATACTCCCGTTAAATTGACGTATCCTTTATTACTTGTTCAAATGCATAGAAACCCGGGATTATCCATGGTTTCGCATTCCGTCTGATGCCTCGTAGAATCACAATTCACTCGGCATGAAGTGTGGCTGCCGTTGTCCTAGCAACCTAATCGTTGCTGGGTTCCTTGATTTGTCGAATCTGCTATGCACACAATAAAATACATCTAATTGCAAAGTATTCTACAGGTCATACAAATAAGTAAATAGACTTGTTCCCGACTCTTTCAGTACTTCCACTCGTTTATTTTTCTCATGGCAGTTTTTTGGTGTTGTGTGTGCTCTGTATGAGGATTGTGTTAGTCGCCATTTTTTCACTAGAGCGTTTCACTGAATCGAGTTCAGCACCTGTCAATGAGGTTGGTCAGGTAAT